TCACCCACGGCAGGTGGATATCGATACGAAAGTCGAAATTAATAAGAGAAGAGAGTTGTGTGAGAAGAGTAAAGAAGAATGCCTGGTGCCGGTGGTCAACCACCGCAAAGGACCACCTTCCGACCACCCTGGGTCAAGGATGGTCCCTCGCCTTTACCTATGCCTAGTGCACCCTGGGCCCTCAATTCTAGAAGAGATTCGAAACCAAAAGTTGAAGAACCGCCTCCATTTACCCAAGTTACTCTCAAAGTGAGTTTCTTTTTTTTTTTTCTCTCCTCCTATTTGATATCATGCTCGTGTTCAATATATTCTCAAAAGTGATGAAAATTTTTTAATCATATTTGGGGATATTTTGAAGGGATGATGCGATAACAATTGCTTGCTGAAACAACAAAATTTGAATTTATTTTGTATGTAATATGTTCTATATTTTCGCTACTTGTTTACTTTTGTTCGATATAAATTTACTTTCATCCCTATTCTCAATCTTTAGAGATACTAACTCATTGTCCGATCCGATGCGTACTTGTTCTACTAGAAACATCGAAGGATGCTTGTGCAGTCTTTTTCCATTCAGATATTAGGTTTCAAAGTCACCAGAGACTTCACTATTAATAACTCGCGTGGGTGTCATGTAACAAGTTCTTGCGTTATAAACATTTCGACAGTGGAAGATTGCAAATGCGTTGCGTTCGAATTATATTTAATCGAGCGATTATTATTATTAAAAATACGAAATTTCGATTCGAGAAGATGTTTTAACGTTTTAATTTACGAAAATGTTTATCATTCACCCTTTGATTCTATTTATATAAATCATCTACGTCACTTATTCAACTCATTCTTGTCATTGTTTTGTTTATTTTCGTTTTTTTTGTCGTCATACAATACGATACGAAAACGCATACTTTCGATATTTTGGCAACGAGCCACGCGAAAATGGTGAACGCGAATGGATTCCTCGATTCGACAAAAATGCGAAAACTTCGAAGTTTCGAAGACACGTGGGAACGTCATGAACATTCACGTCACGATATTGTTTACAACTGTCGCGCTCAGTTAGATCATCGATTGATTTGAATGCAATTTATGAGAGATCCGTGATTCCATTTTCGAATCAATAATTTAAAGTAGAATTTATAGTTGAAAGTTTTCCAACAAATACGAAATCCAGAAAATTTCCAAAAATATCACTTTATTCATTCCCCTGCAAATCATGCGATCAACGTTAGACTTTTTTCGAATCTCGAATTAAGTTAATATGGGAAGCATGCTTTTGCCTCTCCCTGGTGATATTGTTTAATTTTTTTTTAACAATGAACAAATAATGATTTGACGAATTGGCCGTAAATTATGAAATTTGATCGTAAGAAGAAATATTGATTAAAACTATCGAATTATTTGTATATGTTGCAACAAAAGATTAGATTAATATCACTTTCTCGATACGGGAGAGATCAGACAGAAGGTTAGCCTCTCAGGTTCTCGCATATAAGCCTCTGGGTCACGATTATTTAAAGAACACGAGTTTCTATTTCAAATGTCTTGCCAGTTGCGTCTTCCGCCAGTTTCTTAACGAGTTTATACATACGCTTTCGCGCAAATGATAAGTTATGCTGGATTTGCAAATTCTAATTAAAAGAATCTGAATGTATCGATAACCGTATTATAAATTTTCCACACAGTAACTTTTCTCCTAAAGCAATAAATTAACGAATAAGTGATATTTTTTTTTTAGAGAAGAGAAAAAGGAACAGAATATCGTAAAAATACAAATCGAAGTTTATAATTTTAAAACGATCGCAAAGGAAATGCGATTTAGATTATTTAAAGATGATCGCATGAACATTGATACTTGCCAAGAGAATTCTCGAGACTTTCTTTCTTTAGGATCGAAGGATACTAAGTGGGGGTGTACGTTCTTTTTTTCTGTTATTCACTTTTCAATTTGCACAACTATCTTTCACAATACTATTCAAAAAAATACTATTTCTTTAACACGCATTGTAATTAAGTTTTACGATTACAATTGTTATAGCCTGATCTAAGATATGAAAATTGTAGATGTAAGTGTTCGTAAACAATGAAGTGATTATAGTTGAATATACATGAGCGAACAACTGGCAAGAAAATGATATTAATACGATGAACATAGAAATATCACCTGAAATAGATCGAAATAATTTTTATCATTTTTAAATATAAAAAAAAAACAGACAAAAAAATATTACGAAAATATAAAACGATAAAAGATGGTTTTAAAAATAGAAAAAAATAATAAAAAAAATAACATTGATAAAATAGATGTATGAAAAATACAAAGAAGTTAAAATAAGATTGTTTGTGATTCAATTTACAGAGTGTAGCGAAACCAGAAGCGAAATCCTCGACAGATGCACAGCCGCGTAAACAGAGCAAGATCACAATAATCCCGTCACAGCCTAAAAGCGAAAAGAATACGAACAGTCAACCGATACCGGCGAAGCTCCGCGAGAATGGACGACAAGAGCCAAATTCGAGGCCACAGCTCGAACGACAGGTTCGAATCGAGAGGTCTCGATCTCGAGGTGATACAATACCACTCTCCAAGAGTGAGAACACCACAGGTAACAATCTCTCCATAAAACCTTCCCAAACAAATCCTAAAAAGATAAAAATGTTGAATGTAATACGTAATAAATATTATAAAATTATTAAATTTCTCTTACTCGAATCTAATCGATACTTTTAATCTTATCAGAATAATAATTACTTGATAAATATTTCAAATTACTTACCTCTACTCTATGGTAAATTATCCTCTAATAAAAACATAAAAGAAACACAAAAATTCATGATACCACTTGACCACGATAAAAATAAAGTTTTCTTATAAATAGGAGCGCCGACATTATCGAAAAGCTCATCGAGAGCAGCGATTCCGCCACCACCACCTCCAAGACCTCCACCACCACCTCCGAGTAGAACAATCCTGAAGGATCTTCCGCCACTAAACAAGAGCCAACAAGAAAAGCTCGAAATGCTGAAACAGAGACCACGAAAACGTCCAGATTGGGCGAGTATGATGAAAGAAGTTGAAAGCGGAAAGACCTTGAAGCATGTGAAGTGCAACGATAGGAGTGCGCCCTTGATCGAAAGGGTGAACAAGGTTACAGCTGATCCAGCAGGTGATCGTCGATCGAACTTCGATCCTACTCAGATTTCCCTTGGGCAATACTCTTAGGAGGAACCGATTTCATCGTGTTGGTCGATTAGTCGTTATTAGAAAACCTTTTGTTTTGTTACGTCCCCTTCAACCTTTCTACCCTTGTGAATGTCGATCCAAAGGGAGGGGGGCCAATGAGTGTAATTAATTAAATTGTTAATGAGCTTTGATTCGATCACCTTTTGTTTCTGAACTGTGATATGACCTGTTTGTAGTACACATAATCATTATTGTTCTGATCCCCTAGTTTCCTACGAGGGAACCTCCCTTGTTTGTAGTTAAATAATATTATTATCGTTGAATTAACTGTTGTTTTCGTGTTTAGTGGTATCGACATCCTCTTTTATTTTCCTATTCCTGTATTCCTGTAAATGAACTTTAGAACTTGTTACTTTGAATACTTGACTTCGAAGATTAAATGATCAAAACGAATCATGAAGATTTGTTTGAAAATTGTATCTCCGACTTGTATTATATTGTAAATGATTTATAATGTGATGTATAATCAGTTATATTGATTGAATATTTCTAATTAGGGAAGGCACATTTTGTGTTCGAATCTGAAAAATCGAACATGCATAACCAATTGCTGAAACAAATTCAGGAAGGTGTAAAATTAAAGAAAGTGCAAACTAATGATCGATCGAAACCGATACTAGAAGGTCTGAGAAAATTCCGAAGACAATTGACAATAGAGGAACAAATGCAAAAGGCTGAAGAACCCACGGATGACTCTATCTCTGATGATATGGATGATATTGATGCAGTAAGAGATGATTTACAAAGTACTAAACAAATGCTTGCTATTGAACTTAGAAATAAGGAAGCTTTGGAAAGAGAAAACAAACGATTACAAGTATGTTGCTCGAAACATTGTTAAGATTAATAAAAATAACAATTATTATTGATTTTCTCAAATGATTTTTGCAGGCAAGAATTTTAAATCTCGAAGCTGAATTCGAGCATGAAAAATCCCAAAAAAGTGTGCAAGAACAAAGGAAGTATGACGAGAAAATTACAGAATCATTAAAAAAAGAAACTCAACAAGCTAGAAAGGATGCCGAGAAATTCGAGAGAGAATATATCAATGTGTCAGAAGAAAGAGATAAACTCAAAAATGAATTGGAAGAAATGAAAAGGATGTATGCTGCTTTAGAAAAACGAATGAAAGCTGGTATGAACAGATTAAAATATGCAGCTATTCAAAAATTATTTGCATATGTCACATATGCAAAAATATGAAAAATTTTAATCAATAATCTAACAATGCAAATAACAAAAACTTTAATGAAGGATTTCTGATTTAATGTGTTTTTAGTCCTTCATTAATAGTATTGAATTGCTTATGCTTATACTAATTTTGCTTCTTTATTAAATGCTTTGCGAATTAGAGCAAGAGCTTGAGCCTGAGCCAATAATTGAACTAGCAGATGATGGCGACGAAGCAGCTTGGTACAATGTTTCAGGAATGGCACTGGCTGGATGTCCAAGTGCAAAAGATGTAGCAAAAATTGCTTCTCAAAAAAATATAGATAAAAGAGAGCCAAGTGAAAGTGATGAAGAAGAAGAAGAAGAACAAGAAGAAGAAGAAGAAAGTTCAGAAGAAGATGATAAAGATCCAAAAGCATCAGAGAAACGGTTACAAAGAGAAATTAAACTTTTGACAACAAAGATAAGAAATTTCAAGTAAGTAATAATTTATAAAATATAATATTATATATAATGAAAATTAATAATACTTTGATTAATAGAGATAAAGCAATTAATGCTAGAAAGGAAAGACATGCATTAAAAGATCAAATTAAGCAGCAACAAAAGTTATTAAAAGAAGAAAAAAAGAAGTTTAAACAGCTTCAAAAAGAAGTGGACAAAATGGCAAAGTTAATGTCAGAAAGCGAAGATGATGAAAAAGATGATGAAGAAGAAGAAGAAGAAGAAACAGACTCTGAAGAATCAGAATCTGAAGAATCTGAAGATGAAGAAACTGAAACAGAAGATGAAGATCAATCTTTGGAAGGTCAAAGAAATACTTTACAGGTAAATATTCACATCATATCATATATAAAAAATTAGATAAATGAAGTTGTCCTTATTTTATATATGTTTTGACAGAAACAATCTAAAAGGCATGAAGGACGTTTAGCAGCATTAAGGAAGGGTAACTATCTACTTAAAGCTCAAGTTGATAGATTAAAAGATGATTTAGCAAAACAACGAGAAGAAAGTCTTACTCTTCAAGAAGATCTTGACTCCGTGTTAGCAGAATTAGGTTAAGTTCATGTAAAGAGATCTAAGAATTATTATGAATAATTGTATACATACACATATAAGTATTACATATGAAAATATAGAAAATTTTATGTCTGAAAAACCAGACGTAAACTATAATACACGCACACTTACCTAAACGCTTTTTGTAGAAAATCTTACACTTAAACAGAATTTTTATTCAATCAACTGCAAGATACATAGTTATTGTTTTATAGTATCGACTAGTAAACACGCTAATTTGTTTCTTTTAGTATCTATGGTAAATATTTTACATGAGTAACGAACTAAAACGGAAACATCAAAACATATTTATCGATTAAAACAAAAGACAAAACATAAATTTTCTACACAAGCTTCATATATTTATCTAATATTTTTTGCAAAAGTGAAAAATTTTGTATAAGATTATCAATATTGCTTTTTTGCTAAATATGTTGTTAAATATTTTTTAATAAAGACAATTATTACTTAATGATAAAATTTCTAATAGGTTATTATATAAACTAAACTATTAACATAACACTCACATGCTTGCAATTGAAATTAATCGACGAACAGATTTTTCCAGAATGTACAAGCTTTATTTTTCAACGACGATATCTTATTTAGAATACACAATAACATAAGTAATTATGTTTATTACGTTTTTAAAAATACTACAACTACCCGTTAAAGTAGTTTGAAAAGAAACGCACATATGACGTATCATAAAGTCCCTAGTAATGCTTCTTACATTGGCGTCGCAAACATTTTATTTGCATATAGTATATTATATTATGAGTATATTTTTATCGTTGTTAACAAATAATAAAATCTTTGTTTTGTAATTACATGTTTATTGAATAATTTTCTTTTTTTGCTGTATCGATATTATTGATAATACAATGAAAAAAGGAACCGAAATATTTCGAAAATATTTCGAAAATAAATGAGCGAATATAATAGCGGTATTTTTAAAATTTAAAATTATATTTGAAAATCAGAATATCACTATCATTTTCTGTGAATTACATATTCTATACAGTAGCGTCATAGTTTTTGAACATTAATTGTATCTTAAGTGTTTTTAATACCTTGTATTAATTATAAAAATGTTTTCGCCATAAACAATTTAATAGCGAGTGTAACGAAACTGATTACACTGACAGTTGGAAAAATATGCTGAATTTTAGTACGAGCAGATCATGTTCTCTAAGATACATTTTCACAGAGATAATACAAATAATGTGAGATATTTGAATTATACAGCTAACGTTAGTTTCAAGGTGCAGATAATAAATTCTTATTGCTTGGTATTATTATCAAATTACGTACAATAACAAAATAAAACTGAAAAGTAATTGTATAAAAAAAAAAGTCATATGTACATTCGTTTACATAAAAACATTCGACGTTACGTTTAACATACTTTAGGTCGAAAATTAAAACATTTGTATGATATACATGTTTTCAGTATAACGTTAATTATCTATCTAATATTATGAAATAGTATAATCGAATATATTTCATTGCGCGTTTCTGATTTTATAATTAGGGTATGAGTTTACAAGGTCAATAGGCTGTTTCAGTTTTGCGACTTTCAAGTCAATTAATAATCTTTATGTTGGAAATTTATCCAAACACACATACAAATAAATATACTCTTTTTTGTATTGATATATCGGCAAATAATATCGTCGATATAATAATCTGCTGAGACTTTCGCGAAACACGTCAATACTCATTTCTTTTACCCGCATTTATATTTTTACATCCATATAGAATTACAAAATAAATACTGTACATTTGCTTTTTTAGCAATGCAACAGTAAAAATTTCCATATCGATGTAAGTATTACATTTCAAATTAATGGAATACTGAATATTAAGCGAGTAATGATTTTTTTGGTTGCAAGGTTAGTGAAACCTAACATCTCGTTTTTATACAATTTTAATATTAGGGATGCTAACCATTGCTATACTTCGATATATCTTAGATTCACCTAGTGCAGCTTTGTTTTAGATATTCTTATTTTAGAATCTGCATTACTTATTTAATATCCTGTATTCGTTAAAATATTTCTGAAATATGCACAGAGCTATCCAGGCATAAAGGAAGACAGCGTCTACCATAACAAAAAGCAAAAAGTAAAACATTTCTTGGTCATTTCAAATCATATACAAGCAGTTTTTTCTGCCCAGACCGCACAGTGATATTGGTAAAACTGAATGTTATCAAATAGAAATCCTATACTAGTCAGGTCCATTTTCTTATATTATGAAGAAGCGATACAGTGCTAATGGATCTTTATGATAATATAATTATTAATTGAAATCCGATATTATATGCATTGTCTATCATATTTTATATGGTAACCGAATTGCACTTGCCGAAAATCTTCGTAACAAATACAAAAACAAAACGAAACAAAAAAATATTTTTTCACGTAACTTTAACTTCTACTTTAAACTTTTTTTCTTCTACTAACTTAACATCAGTTACATGCAAATTATGGATACTTTTTGCAGCAAACTTAATTACAGATTGAGTTGAAACTTGAGTTGTATGTCTGAGATCTAAACGTTTAAGCACTTTACATCTTGCCAAATGATCTAATGTTGTTTCTGTAAGTAATCTACAGTTTGCCAAATTCAGTGATGCCAAGTTTGTTACTGCCTGTGCTGGTGGAGTTGCTAATTGAGCTACACCAGCATCAGTAACTCTACCGCAAGAAGAAAGATCTAATGTCTCAAGATAGGGTAAGTGTTGAACTATATATCTCAAAGCTATATCAGTTATATCACATCCAGCCAAAGACAAATTTTTAAGATGTTTTAGTCTTGAAGTTTTATCAATTAGACCAGGCCTCGAATCTGTAGGTGGACTGAGAACTTCTCTTAAACTTGAATCATTTAGTCCAGATACATGACTTAAATCTAAGGTAACAAGTGGTGGACAAGTGCAAGTTCTTAAAGCACAGACTCCAGTCCACGTACAACCTTGTAGAGATAATGTTCTGAGTTGTGGTAATCTACTTAATAGCCAAGCTAATTGTCTTTTAGTAACATTTGTCCAGTCAAGAGACAGATTTTCCGGTTGGCGGCGTATTATACCAGTTAAATGTAAAGCTGTTAGATGAGAATGAGACATATCCAATTTTCTCCACAAACTAGGATCTATACTATATCTGGCCCATGTACGGCAAACCAAGGCACAATTCGCCAGGTCCTTTGCATTTAAAAATCTAAAAATAGCAAGTAATGCTGTCTTGTCATATGCTAAAGATTGTCCATTAAAATCGGGCCCTGGTCTTTGAACAGGCGGAAGTGAAACAGGCCTAACCACCACGTGGGGCCTCTTCAATGACTTACTACTTGAACCAGTTAATTGTACAGCTAATTGTGTACGCAAAGCTGTTCGCTGTTCACCCTCAGCCGGTTCTCTGTCATTCCATGCCTGGAATTTTTTGTATATAAACCATGAATGATTCGTATTCTTAGACCGTTTCAGATTCCATTTGGGGACTTACATCGCTGGGATCGGGTCTTGAACGTTTACTTGGTGTAGTTGCCCTTTCAGAATCTGTTGTAGGTGCTGAAGAAGCTGCACTAGATACTGAAAGTTTTCGAGCACGAGCCTTAGGTTGACGTGGCCTACAATCTAGATTCCGACCGCTTTCACAACATTGGGGACACTCCCAACTATTCGGTAAATCATCGCTAACGGTTATAGTTTGGGGGTCCAATCCTATACATTCAGGATGTACAATGTCGAAACAAATTGAGCACTCAACTAAACTCGATGGAGCTGTAGGTGTTGGTTTTCCTATATCAAAAATAGAAAAATGACATATTTCTAGTTACTCACAAATAATGAATAAATCCATTGAAATAAACTAATACCCATTAATGGTGCAGGTGGTTGGCCCCAGCCATCTAATCGACAGACTTTACAAGCTGCAGTAACTGGAAGCATAGGCCTCAAGCACTGTCTCATTAAACATGTTTGTTTGGCACGACCACTTCCACCAAATTTTACCATATCTTGACAATATATGCATTCTCCACAATCAGTTCTTGTACATGCTTCACATTTCTTACACCTAGTACGCCTTCGTCGTGGGAAAGCTCTTTCAGACTTTTCTTGGGAGTGATGTCTTTGTATTTTTGTAAAACTCTTTTTAGTTATCCTCATTCGTTCCTGTTATATAACAATAAAATAAAATATGTATAAATATTAAACAAAAAATAGATAATTAATATGATAAAATTTAATATTTTATATACCCTTTCAGCAATTGTTAAAGCAGGTGGAGGAGGTAAAACAGGATTTCCAGTCACAGCTGCTTCTGGATTATCATGTCTATGTTGTTCTACTAGACATCGAACATCATGAATTAAGGCAACAGGATCACGAATTAGCTCAGGCACATTCTTCTTAGTAGAAGGTAATGAATGTAAATACATAACTATTGCTTTTAAACCATGCAACTCAAATGGTGTTAGATGTATATGTTGATGATGCTGTGGCACTGAATGTTGACGTTGTGATTCAGAAATATCCAAGTGACTTCTGCCTAGAAGAACATGAACATACCTCTCCAAAACATACCTGTAATAAAGAAATCTCTATATATATAATATAAAAAAAATTTCTTTAAAATTATTAAAAAGTTTATTCATACCATAACATTTCTGTGAAAAATGGATATCTGAATTTTTGTGGAACTTTTGTATGTTCTTCTACTTGTGCAACTTTCAATTGTTTTTCAATACCAAAACTGTGTAAAAAATTTCCACCAAATACTAAAGAATCTTGAGGAGTGTACACAGCATGAATCCAACCAGTTGGAATAAATAAAGTCATACCAGCTGTTAAACTTATTCTACCACATCTGTCTACCATATCTCCAAAGAATACATCAGATTGTTTACCACTCAATACCCATTCTTGATAGAGGCTTAAATTCTTTTCAGTAGGAGGGATAAGCCAAAATATTTTGCCACCTCTTAAAATATGATACCAAACACTAGTTCCACCAAAATCAACATGAAAGTCTGTATAACAACCTTTTACAGACATGAGACAATATTTTTGCACTTTTGGATACATCATATCTTCCAATAGATTTGTAGATTCTACTTGTGCTTCTTTCAAATGTCTTGGCCATACAACATCTACCCAATCAACTTGTCGTACTAATTCAGGTGATTGTACATAATTTTCTAATTTGGTATGGCTAAATTCCAATGAAATTACATTTAACAATCGTTCTTTATTAGAATCTTCATAATATTTTTGCCATTCTTTCATTGTCATATCTTCATTTTTTTGTGTATTAACATCCATTACATCCAATATTCTTTTTGAACCTAATAATATCATAGATAATGAATATTTTTTAATATCCCATATATTGAAGAAAACATATGTTGTTATAATAATTATAATAGACAATTACAAATCAAACATACCAACACAAGTCCTGACATCATTGACAGAAAAATTTGAACTGGGAACTCGTAATCCCAATCCAGATTTATCTCTGAAGAGTAATGGTATGCTAAGACCATGTTTTTGCAAATATGCTAAATTTAGTTCAGAACCAGCCATTTCACGAAATAATCCAGTGAAATTGCTAAGATTATACCTATCACACTCGATTTTTTCATCGAGTTGAAAAGTCCTACGACCCTCGATTTCTTCATCGCCTATAGTCCAATCATCTGTATATAATTTTCGAGTTCTTTCCCGCTATAATAAAATTTACGATAAATATAAAATTTTTGGCAAAATTATATATAAATTTCATATTAAACTATTGAATTTAAAAATTAAATTAAAAAGTTATGTTTGGTTTGTTTACCAATTGACGCCTTTTTGGCAGAGAAGTAGAGTCATCGGCCATTGTCGACATGCTGTCAGAAACGTATCACCGAAAACTCATCGAATATTCAATGTATATTGTCTTTTAAAGGTTAAATTAGTTTTTTCAGTATTATATAAACAAAATCTCGTTTATTATTTACATGTCACTCACAATAGCCTGATATTAACATCGAACTTTTCTCTGATTTTACTTTCCCAGTAAAATGAGGTCGCCATTTTGTTGCCGGCCAATGCTACCAATAAAAGGCCATGAGAAACTTAAAATCATTTTATATAATAATGTGTTACATATAAATTAAAAAAATTTATAATTACAATTTTTTTATGATATATTATGTATTGATATATTTTGTAAGTTTATAATTAAATTATTATAACTTTATAATTTTTAAATATTTGTCAAACAAGTTATTAACAATTATCTAGAGATTTTGCGTCATTTCAAAGAATTATTGATGTGTCCTATATTATAAGTTCTAGTAGTATTATATATAGTGTATAGGTATTTTTTGACAATTTAGAATTAAATATCGAATGTTGACATATTTATATGTAACATAGTATTTTAAATCTTTTATTTTCTTATGTAGTCTCAAAATATTAATCATTATTGTTTAAAAAATTTTTTCTTATATTTATGAAATTTTAAATATTTATTAAAGTGAGGAAAGTTTTAAAAAGTAAGGATTTCAACAATCAAGTTAACCATGACGAGTCTTCGTGATAGGCAAATAAATGCTTTAAAGTTGATGTTAAATTTGAATCAATCAGAACAAAAATTGGAAGAAGCAATACCAGTGTGGAAAGTATTAATTTATGATAGACTTGGACAAGATATTATTTCACCATTAATATCTGTAAAAGAACTCAGAGAACTTGGTATTACACTTCATATGCAATTACATTCTGATAGAGATTCTATTCCTGAGGTACCAGCTATTTATTTTTGTGCACCAACAGATGAAAATCTTGTTAGAATTGGTCAAGATTTACAAAATGGATTATATGATATTTATCATTTAAACTTTATATCACCAATAACTAGGCAAAAAATGGAAGATTTAGCAGCTGCAGCATTACTCGGAGGTGTTGTGTCAAATATTCATAAAGTATTTGATCAATATTTAAATTTTATATCATTAGAAGATGATCTATTTATTCTTAGACATCAGAATAGTGATGTTATATCATATCATGCAATTAATCGGGGTGAAGTTAAAGATACTGAAATGGAATCAGTAATGGAAATTATAGTTGATTGTCTTTTTTCTGTATTTGTTACTTTGGGTACTGTTCCAGTTATAAGATGTCCAAGAGGAAATGCTGCAGAAATGGTTGCCAAAATGATTGATAAAAAACTAAGAGAAAATGTTTGGGATACAAGAAATAATTTATTTGAAAGTGAAACAACTGGGCATTATAGTTTTCAAAGACCACTTTTAATTATATTGGATCGTAACATAGATATGGCCACACCATTACATCATACTTGGACTTATCAAGCATTAGCACATGATGTGTTAGAAATGGCACTAAACAGACTTGTTGTTGAAGAAAATGTAGGAAGATCTCCTGCAGGAGGAACACGATCAAAGACTAGAGCTTATGAATTAGATAATAAAGATAGATTTTGGTGTCAACATAAAGGTAGTCCATTTCCTAGAGTAGCTGAAGCTATTCAAGAAGAATTAGAACAGTATCGTACTTTTGAAGATGATGTTAAAAAACTCAAATCATCTATGGGTATTGACAATGATAGTGAAGTAGCATTATCTATGGTTTCTAATAATACAGCACGTTTAACAAATGCTGTTAATAATTTACCACAATTATTAGAAATGAAACGATTGATAGATATGCATACATCAATTGCAACAGGTATTTTAAATTTTATAAAATCCAGAAGACTTGATACATTTTTTGAATTAGAAGAAAAAATAATGAGCAAACAAACATTAGATAGGAGTGTAATAGAAACAATAAGTGATCCAGATTGTGGTACTCCAGAAGATAAATTACGTCTTGCTATTATATATTATATTTGTACAAATATGTCAGATAATGATTATAGTAAACTTGAATCAGCATTATCTACTGCTGGATGTGATTTAAATCCATTGATATATATAAAAAGATTAAGAAGTTATACTAGAATAGCAGAAATTCAGAACAACTATGAAGGTGGTGGAACAAAAACAGTTAGTATGTTTTCAAAACTAATGAATCAAGGATCATCTTTTGTAATGGAAGGAGTAAAAAATTTAGTTGTCAAAAAACATAATTTACCAGTTACAAAAATAGTTGATGAATTAATGGAATCAAAGCAATCATCTCAAACAGATGATTACTGCTATTTAGATCCTAAACAATTAAAACATACAGAACAAATGCCAAAGAACAGGCCAACATTCCAAGATGTAATTGTTTTTATTGTTGGTGGTGGAAATTACATAGAATACCAAAATTTAGTGGACTATGTAAAACAGAAAAGTGGAACTGGAATTAATAAACGAATCACATATGGTTCAACAACATTTATAAATGCGAAACAATTACTTAAACAACTTTCTCTTTTGGGGCAAGAAGTACATTCGTAAAATTTATAAATTATTCAATGAATATTGGAAAAAATATTAATCTTCTACTTTCTTATAGTATATAGTAATTTTTTATATTACTGTTATTGGCTCCTTGTAAAAATGTAAAATAAATAAAATACGGTTAATTAATTTTAGATATAATTTTTCTAATTATATATAACCTATCATTAAATTTATTATATGATTGAAATTCGAATATTAAATTATTATAAAAATCTAGGGATTTTTTTATATTAAAGAGACAAACTTGTATTTCAAATTGTTTGATCAATGCATTATACATGCATCTACTATCGTTTCGTCTTTTTAAAGATTAAAAATTCATTAAATATTAAAATACTTATTTTTATTAAAATCTATTTTGAAGAATCAAAATGACTACCATACAAGAAGAAATAAAAGATTTTGTTCGACGTGCTGTTATTGCAACAGAACCGCAAGAAGCTGTTAAGGAATATTTCTTGTCGAAGCAAGAAGACCGTGATATTAAGTAACGAAAAAATTATTTCATATAATTGTTTTTTGATACATTACAAGTATATTCTGTGTATTCTTTTATTTTCAGTTCGATAACAATTAGGAAACTGATGTAAAATTCTATGAAAAAGGTTGTGAAAGTATTTTTCTTTTATGATTTTATTTTATAATTTAAAAAAAAAAAAAAAA